CAAACTCATGGGTAGGATAATTATAATATATCCCTCTACAGGCAAAACCTTTATCCATGATGACAAATGGATAAAGGATTTGCCTGTTCGGAAAATGTCCGAATTACCTGCATGCACCATTAAATATAATAATTCCTTCTGATTTAACCATTAACCTTTGGAAAAAGAAAATTGCGCATTCTCTACTAGATAAATAAATATATAAACAAATAATTCTTTTGTAATATAGTTATACATTTTTTTCCTATAATATCTAATAATAGGTTCTTTTGATTTCTCTTTTTTAAAAATTTTTTGCTGAATCCAATCTGTATAAAATTCTTGAAATGACTAATTAGAAATTTTTTATTTAATATAGAAAACAATTTGAAGGATATCACGACTGATAATAATAATAATGTATTTCCGTGTAATTTCCGTAGTAGTATGTTTCAATCAAGTTATAGTTAACGAATAAATGCTTTGTAAGAAAAAAAAATGCCCATTTTTATTTGCGAGTTTATCAGTTACTTGATAAAAAAAAGGTCTGTTTTTATTAGTTACTTAATAATATTCCAGAACTATAAAATCTTATTCTTACATTCCGTTTTAATTCCACATTTACAAGTTAATATAAATGACATTATGGAAAAAATTCGGATTGCTTACTCAACTGGTTGCTGATTCTATGAAATAAACTGAACATTTACAGAGTGATAAACACGATCACGAAGATATAATAACAATGGAAATATTTTAAAGTGTTATTTTTTACAGGGGAGAAGTAGTTTATTTTTTGGGAATACGTTCTTATTCTAATATTAATCCTTGTTTGATTGCAGTAGATGATGAAACATTTTTAATTTATAATCATTTTAGTTAGTCAAGTACATAAAAATTTCTTTTAAATATTTTTAATCAATAAAGATAATTTCATATGTTCTTGGCTATTTTGATTCGCATAATTATAAAAAACCAAGATTCGCATTAATATTAATACATTACATGTTTTCGTAACACCTGTATGTTCTGTATTGTTATATGATTGATTATTTATATATTCATACATAAATTTTATATTAATACTATTAATTTAATAAAAACTAGTCGTAACCCATCTCTTCGCTGATGGGTCGGGTTACAATCGGCTGATTTTATTGTGATACGTAATGTATGAAATTTTATTGTGAATATACATTTATTTGCATATCTAGTGGTCTAAACGTTACACTCACGTGAATCCAATGATTTTTTAATATAATAGATGTATGTGTGTATGATCTGTATTTTTATCGTGTATGGAGATAAAATTCATATGTTAGGATTTATATTGTATTTATAAATAATTAGATTTTTTCATTAAAACAATTTTCAAAACAAAGCCTTTTGAAAATGGGTTTATTAAAATTTTTTCAAAAAAATATTACTAGCAGTGATACTATTTTAAATCTTGAATGGATCAAGATTTTACTTGTTGTTTTCATTTTGTACATTATAAGATTTTATTATAAATATTTTACTCGTATTAATCCTCTCAATGGTCCTACACCATTACCACTTATTGGAAATCTACATTTGTTTGGATTAGAACTATCTAAAGATTTAAAAAAATTATCAAGGCGATATGGTAGTACATTCGAGATTTACCTTATGACACGCCGATTTATTGTTGTATCTGATCCAAAGGAGGTTGAAAAGGTTTTTAATAATTCACCAAAAAACAAATTTTTTAATAGGCCTGAATTAGGTTCATCCCATGAATACAATATGAACACCGGCATGGTATTTAATAATAACTACCCAACATGGAGATATAATAGAAAACTTACTTCACAAGTGTTATTATCACCAAGAATTTTAAAAGAATTTGTCACCACCAATCAACAACATTTTGACAAATCAATGAAATATTGGCAAATAAATCATGGGACAAAAAAAGAATTTGTTGTTAATATTGTAGAATGGGCAAGAGCTTATACAACTGACTTAAGTTTTAAATTATCAACTGGTATGCCCACTTATTCATCAGCTTCCTACAGCAAAATTTCATTGGATGATGTGAAGAATGAAGAGAAATGTCCACAATACTTGATAGACATTTCACGAGAATTTTCAGATTTAGTGAATCTGTTTATTAGATCTTTTATAAAAATTACATTAATTCCTTCATTTATACAAAATTATTTTCTCAAAGATCAGCAGAAAAAATGGATTCGCAATTTTTTTAGAATTAAAGAAGTCTTACATTTGATTGTTAAAGAACGTAGAAAAGAAATTGAAAAAGAGCCATTGAACGAACAGTTGAGACCAGATTTATTAACAAATTTATTAATATTGAATACTGAACATGACAAAAACAATACTTTTGGTGAATCACCACCAATGAACGATCAACAAATTGTTGCAAATTTACTTGAAACCATTCTTGGAGGGATTGACACTGTAAGCATTCTAATAAAATATGCATAGTATTGGATGGTATCATATATTAGCATGCATACATATAAATATTCCTAACTTTTCTTTTTGATTTTTTTAGACAGGAAATATGATTAGCCTAGTGTTCAATTTTGTTTTGTCACATAAAGAAGTTAAAGAAAAGATTCTGGAAGAAATAAATCAAGTATTTGCTGATGATTTAAAGCGTCCAATGACATATGAAGATTATGAGAAAATGGAATATTCTCTAGCTGTTGTCAAAGAAGTCTTAAGATATCATGCTTTAGTATCAGTATTATTTCGTCAGGCAAAATCAGATAATGCAGAAATTGGTGGCTATAATTGGCCAGCTGGTACAGTTGTTTTGGTAAATATTCAGGAATTGCAAAAAACACCTAATTATTGGGAAGATGCTGATCAGTTCAAACCTGAACGATTTCTAAAAGATGAGGCAGACAAAATAGGCAAATATACTTATACACCTTTTGGTGGTGGTATACGTATCTGTCCTGGTCATCTTGTGGGAAAAATTACAATGGTTTCGTTGCTTGTTAATTTATTGAGAAATTATGATATTGAATATTATGAGAAAGAAAATCCATTCAAATTTATAGATAGTTTCATAACTATTGTAACTGACTTTAAAGTCATTCTTAAACCCAAAAATTAATTCAATTTTGGGGTTGGTTATGATGCTTTAAATAAATAAAATGATTTCTTATGTTAGTATTAGTATGGCGAAACCCAAAAACTTAGTCATTGATGTGACTGAAGTATTTGATGGAAATAAAAAATCCTTTATTTTGTTCCAAAAAATGTTCTTAAAATAAAAAAATCACATTAATTTATTAGTAGAAATAAACAAAACGCAAAACATGTAGATATTGTAAAATAAAATTTTATACATCATCACACGTTAAAATTTTTTTCGGCTTCCTTTTAATATAACTTTTAGTAAAGAAACTCTTTTGTAGCTTTTTTAAAAAAGGATCGGTCATAAAAAATAAATTTTCTTTTGTTAACACTTATTATTTGCAAATTTAAATATACTGTATACAATTTTAAACATTATAAAACTTCTTGTTCTTAATCTTGTAAGAACTTGGTTTTCTTTGTTACATTAAATAGTATAAAATAAAATTTTTTTTTTACATTTCTCCACGAAAAGTTATGAAAATTTTAAAAAAATCATTTACTTTTAACTTTTTTAAGTATATAGAACAAATAAATCGATTATACTGTATGACTTATTAATTTAACAAGGTACCTTGATGTGTGACTTGAATGATTCATAATGTTTGAACAACCTAGTATTGCGCCTTGGAGTTGGTAGAGTTCATAAACTTTACTTTTGTCCTGATTCATTTTTTCATAATTTCTTTCTATGACAAATATCTTAGTAAACACTCTCTATGACAAATATCTTAGTAAACACTCTCTATGACAAATATCTTAGTAAACGCTCTCTATTACGAACATCTTAGCAAACACTCTCTATTACGAACATCTTAGTAAACACACTCTATCTATAACAAACAAATTACATATAGAGATGGAGGGTTGGTTCTATAGAGAGTGAACTGTATATATACCACTAATATAAAAATTTTTTTTGTCAAAAGATTGTTGAATTTATTTATTTAAAATATATATCCTCTCCATGTATAAAATTAATTTTACATTA